TTTTTTTTTCCCTGGGTTTGGATCGAATTATCCAATTGAAGTGCTCAGCTGTGGTTTAGGCACACTCCTAACAGTCACCATTTGCTGCTTAATTGCTCATCTAGCGTAGTCTGGCTGAACAGAGCCAAAGCTGAATCCTGGGCTGGGTCAGTGTGGCAGCTGCTTTTGCATTAACTCTGTGCTCCACCTCACAGCCCCGCAGTGAAACGTGCAGGCAGAATTCCTCTGAAGGCTTTGGAAAGTGAGCAACGAGTCCTTGGTTCAGCAGCCCCTTGCTGGTTTGCAAAGCAGCAGTTCTGGGGGGAAGGGAGGGGGAATCCACCTCATCCAAGTGAGGAATGAGCACGTGCTGCATTTCCCGTGGTTCTCATCAGCAGCTCGAAACCATCAAAGAAATGCCAAAAACTTAAAATTCTGCTGGGAAGGTTTAGAAACGTCCCAGTTTCTAGGTAGCACTTCCCCTCCTGAGGATTCAGAACTTTTTCCAGCCCACTTGTATCACCTTTATGCCTTTATCAGCTCCAGAGCACTTGGCCAAGGCTCTCGGCAGGCTGAAACCTGTTGCAACTTCATTTTTCAGATCATGGTGTAGGAGCTGTCCCACAGACATCCCCAGACCACGTCTGATCTCTGAGGTCACTCCAGTGCAAATTGATTCGCTTAAAAGTTTATATTGGACCAAAGCAATGACATCACAAGGGAATCTCTCTGTTGCTGAAGCAGCTTTCCTAGTTCAAAAGCGAGTTGAAATTCAAACTTCACCCCAAATTCTGGCGTTCTTTTGTAGAGTAACTAAAGCTAGCAGTTTATTTACCAACACCTATCTGTATTTGAGGGATACTCATTAGATGGGCAGGGAATAATGTGTATTTACTGCCTCAGGAACAGGTTGCCATCGGATGTGAGTCCTTAAGGCTGGTGGTTTTTCCAAGACAATCCACTACTTGTTGCACTTACATTTTCAAGTGGCAAAGCTATTACTGCAAAGACAGTGTGTCAAGGTACATGGCTTTCTGTATAAAACTCATCCTTTTGTTGTACTGATCCATTATTTACTGCCATTAACTGAAAATGTGAAACCAACACATAGGTCTCCTTTTATATAAAAGACCTTAAGATAATAGTAACAAACTGGATGTTATTTATTAATGTTTTGATCCAGTATGTGCTTGTCTTATTTAAAGAGATAACTGGAATGTGAATCATGTTCCTGTGATTTGTTGATTTATTGTTTCTCATTCACATTTGTAGATATTGTGACCTATGCCTATATAATAAAAAGGATCTCATTGCTATAACGTACTTTTTTTTAATGATGAAAACCTCATTAGCTTTGTATCGAGTTTGTCACAGCACATAACTCTGGATACTCATCCATTCACAAAATACAAACCCACCATTAAACTTTACCAAAAAACAAAACCCCTCTACCCCACTTAAGCTTTGATTACTTCCATCCCTAATGTTTTTATGGATGCATGAAAGTATTAGGACGTATGTATATCCAAATAGTTAACTGAAAAAAATCCATTCTTGTCATATCTGGTAGTGACAGAGGTTATCAATGTTCAGGTTTACTGTTTGACTAAATTATTGTAATTTTTGTAAATACGGTATATACTTGACAAAATTGTGACTGGTCTAAAACATTTGTATATACATTAAAAAGCTCAAATTAACAAATTCAGGTATCTTTTGTGCTTGTGACCACGAGGTTCCCGTCCCACATCTGCTCCTGTGTGAGGGGTGGCGAGCCCTGGCTTGGGTTGGTTTTGTCATTGTCATTATCCACAGGTGCTTTTCCCAAATTATCCAGGTGCTTTTCCCAAATTATTTGGGAACAGCTTGGCATTGCTGTTCTCAGGCTGCTGCCTCCAGAGACCCGCAGCCAAACAAGCCAGCAAACCCAAATTTTTCAAGTGTTTTGGAAGCATTTAGTGGATTAAGCCTGTTTTAATAAGCCTTCTGACTCAAAATAATTTAAAATAATGAAAAATGGGGGGAAATATGGAGTAGGGTACATAAAAAGAGAAGAGGTGACAAGGGAGGTATGTGAAGAAAAGCTCCCGGGGGAGGGGGGGGGGTATTGAAAAAGTTGTGCAAAATCTCCCCCTAAAAGGCTTTTCTTGGGACAAAAATGCTGTTATTGGGTCAAGAAGGTTGGTTTTGGGGCAAAAATGCCGTTCTTTGGGCAAAAAGGTTCCTCTTGGGACAAAAAAAAAGTAATTGCTGAATTAATAAGACTGTTCTTGGGTAAAAAGGCAATTGTTGGGGCAAAAAGGCTTCTCTTGGGTCAAGAATGGGAGCTCGAAAGTGTCGCCTCAAAAAATCCAAGGCTTGAAAGCCACGGCGTTAAAAGAAGCTGTGCCCTTCCTCGTGCGGATTAGGACCTACATCATCCACCCTCAGCAGAAGGATGGATGATGGTCCTGAGACGGCCCTGCTCGAGGCAAACGGGCCCCCAGCTCAATGTTTTGGGGTGAAAACAGAGATTTTCAGGAGTGCCCACAGAACAGCAGCGCCTGAGGGGCGGGGTCTCTTTCATGTGGCGTTTACCGATTCCAATCGCGGCTGCGCACGAACAGACTTTTCTTACAGATACGAATTTAACGCACACATATACACACGTCTTACCCTCATAGCGGGGGTTATATACGCCAGCAAAGCCGGTTTTTTTGCGAGGTTTAGGCGCGTCGAACCCCTCAGGACGCGCCGTCCCCTCACGACGCTCCGCCCCCTGCGGCGGCCGCGGCGGCAAAAGGCGCTCTGGGGCCCCGCCCGCCCTTTTAAAGGCTCGGTCGGGAAAGGGGCGGGGCCGCAGGCCGGAAGTGGCGCGGCCGCGGCGGAGCCCGGACATGGCGGGCGTGAAAGGTACCGGCGGCTCCCTCAGGAGCGAGCGCGCCCCGGGCGGCGCCTCAGCGCGGCGGAGGGCGGCCGGGAGCGGCGGGGAGGGATGCCCGGCAGCCGGGGAGGCGGTAGCCGGCGGCCCGGGAGGGATGGCCGGTGCCTCACGGCCCGCCCTGTGCCGTTGCAGCTCTCGTGGCGCTGTCCTTCAGCGGAGCCATCGGGCTGACGTTCCTCATGCTGGGCTGCGCCCTGGAGTACTACGGGTGAGCGGGCCCTTCCCAAAGCTTGTTCTGTTTAAAAGCCGTTCATTAAGTTTCTCTCGTTTAATGGAGCTTTCCGGCCCCTCCTGCAGCCTCTTGGCACGTGGCAGATTGTTGTGGTTAAACATCACTTCCTAAGGCGGTGTTTCCATTTGCATTAAAATAAATCCGCTGCAAACAGCTCTGTGCTGCTTCAGGGAAAGCGGTGCCACCTTGCTAGATTTTGAATCTCACAGACATTTGCCTTCATTTCCTCTTTCTTTGAACAATCCACGTCCCACAAGTTTCCACTTGGGATGTCCCCACCCGTGGCTGGAGCTGGGGCAGCTTTGGGTTCCCCTCCAGCCCGGGCTGTGCGATAATTCTGTGATTCTGTGTCTGTAAAACACTTTAAACGTCCGCAGGAGGCTCGTGAGAGCTCTGACACGCAGATGGGATGTGAGGGTGTGCCTGCTTTATCCCTGGAATTCGGGAATGCTGCTCCAGTGCATTTCCTGCTTCCTCTGTGCTCACAGCTGAATCAGCAAAACGACTCGAAACTAAATTAAATTAACCCTCGCTCGTGTGAGAGGCTGCATGCCGCTCTATCAGTGCAGGGCAAACGTGGTGGAGTTGCCCCGTTTTGGGTGGAATCTTCATTAATCCACTTTCCAAGCCAAAAAGTAGCATTAGGAATATTGCACCAGCTTTCTGATTGAAATATCCCTTCTAACTGGTGACACATTTGTTTTCTCCCCCTCCCCAGTGTGTACTGGCCCCTGTTTGTGTTGATATTTTACTTCATCTGCCCCATTCCCCACTTCATTGCCAAGCGAGTGGGGGATGACAGCGATGCAGCCAGCAGTGCCTGCAGGGAGCTGGCCTATTTCTTCACCACAGGAATTGTTGTCTCTGCCTTTGGATTCCCCATCATCCTTGCACGGGTGGAAGCAGTAAGTCCTTGCTAATTTTTCTTCTCAGACCTCACTTACTGGGTAGCATCTTCAACCCTGCTTTCATTTCATTACTCTGCTGTCTCCAGGTGAAAATAGTCCACTGAAATTTGACTTTTTGAGCTGGAAAAAAAAGAACTCGCATGACTGAAAAGTTTTTAGCTGGTTTTTTTCCTCCCTCCAGCCTTGTTTTGGCTCAACACAAGATAATATCTCCTCCATCACCTCGTGCCTCTCTGTCTCATGACCCTTTGCATCTCTTCTTGCTTCAGCTTCCTTATTTTTATCTTGGAATTCCTGCTTTATTTCATTCAGGATGCTGCAAACCTGGGGATTGGGCCGTGTTAGGAGTTAAAAGATAAAAGGCCAAGCTTCCAGAGCTGCCCTTGTGACTCTCAAAGCATTTCCCAAGCTTTGGCCTCTCAAAACCTGAGGAAACTCTGCCTGAATCCTTTCCTTTTTTCCTTTCTGAACTTCTCTGCAGTGCTGAGATTTTGGTCACATTTGTCTGAAAGGCAAAGAATTCCCCCTGTCCCAGCGATGTTTAATGAGTCCTGCTGGTTTTCCCCTTCCCTTTCACTCCTTAAAACTTTGTGTGCTTGCTCTGAATTTATTTGCAATGCCCAATTCCCCTGATATTTTTATTTTGGAGCTGGGGCCTGGCAGCAGCAGAACGACCACGAGAGGGAACTCTCAGTCATGTGTTTTAAATGTTCCTTATTTAAGTAAATTACTTGTGCAGCTTATGAATTAAAAAAAAAAAAGAAAGCTGTTTACTTTTAAATCCACATTGTCCATGCCTGTAACTTGTTTCAAAGGAGATCTTTTGGTTTTTTTGCTTGGCAATGAAGGGAGAGCACTAATTTCACCAGACTTCTCTCTGATTTAGGTGTGGTTTAATGATTTGGAAGGCAAGTCATAATTTTCTTCTAAATCCTAGCAGTAGCTTGGCTGAAGTGTCTATTAGTGATACAAGTGGCTGCTAATTGAATAATTAATCACACAAATGGAATTCTTTATTGTTCGCCTGTTCTGCTTTTAGCACCTTTCTGTAGTATTTTGATTTTTTTAGTATTTTAGCTAATCTAATGCCTAGAAATAACTGCCCTGAGCATCTGTCTTCCAAGAACTGCTTTGATTGTTCCATTTCTTGCATTTCAGATCAAATGGGGAGCCTGTGGCCTGGTGCTGGCTGGCAATGCAGTCATTTTCCTTACAATTTTAGGCTTTTTCCTTGTGTTTGGCAGAGGAGATGACTTTAGCTGGGAGCAGTGGTAGGAGCTCACTGTGGTGCTGGTAATTTTCAATATTTTACAGCTTTTCCCCCCAGTTCTGTGTGTATGTATAGATAATCTAATGTGTGTGGGTATAACATTCACGTGGCTTTACATTATCACTTAATACTTTGCTTTTTTAAATGCACTTCAGCCAAAGGGATGGTGCTGACAGTTGGCCACTAAAATGGGGAATTATTATGAATTTAACCTTGAAGAAGTTTACAAGGAATAAGCAGTTTTACCCATTTCTCACTGTATTTGCATCAATTTTTGGTTTAATTGCAGTGTCATTGAGCCATTGGTCACTATTCCTGTTGGGGTTTTAACCATATAATCAAAGAATAATATGAAGATTATCCTAATTGGGATTGTTCAACTTGATCAATCTTTCTGCTTTAATTAGGATGAGTTATTATTTCGTTTACATCTCATTAGTTGTAATTTGAGAAAAATTGTCATTTTTCTTAATGGCAATAAAGCCAAACATAAATGATGCCAACTCTCAGTGCCTAAGAAAAGCAAAAGAAAATAACCCTGGTTAAAAACCCTCCACTTATGTTTGTTTAAAGATAATTTTCTCCCCACAAAGATATTTTCTGTTCCTATTCAATTTAAAAATTGTGGCTATATTTGGGGAGTAACATATTTTAGTGCATCTTAAAGCTGGCATGACTTCTATGAAGGTTCACAAAAGGAGAAACTACCCTCAGGACACTCAAAATCACAGTTTAGTGTTCAACTCTATGTATTTTTATAGGTGTGAATTGCAAGGAATTGAGTGTTCTGCTGGGTAGGAATTCTTATTTCCTCCTTGCTTTTCAAACACCCTTCTTCAATTCCTGTTTTTTTTTGTCTGGAAGAAGGTTGTTATTACATTAAAACACTATATTTTTAAATAGCATTATCCTAGTAAACATTCACATAATCACACTTAAAAATATATAATTTTATTACTTCAGCACTGTAAGAATAGAGGGAATGGTCAGTAATTAATTAGTACTAAAAGAGGAATTAACATTAAAGGACAGGGTTTTTTCTGGATGTTAATGCTCCATCTAAGACATAGCAGCATAAACTTACAAAAATCCTGGGAAAAACGAATTATTGAGTGTCTTCTTCCTGGTTGTGATGAAATCTGTTGGAACTGGGGAAATGACTTGTTTTAATGATAAACCAAATTTTTCAGATGAAACATAATTTCCATGTTTAATTCCTGCTTTAATTTTTAAAGAAGATGCCTTTTTTCCCTATACAGTGGCATTTTTCACTCAGTAATGGAGTTTAAAAAAATGAAATAAAACCCAGTCAGTGCCTGGTGATAAATTCTTAAAGCCATTGCTAACAATTCCATTTAAGTCCTCTTGGAT